AACCTGGACCCGCTACTCTCTACTATCCTTGCTTTACCAAATACTATATAAACTGGATTCCCTTTGGTGATCAACTACTATATAACGGCGGTACCCTTGAGTCATCACTTACAATATAACGACGGTAGCCCAGAGCCATGAATTGCGATGTTACAAGTTTGGTCATAATTGCTGTTTGCTCTATACGAGAAGCCACCTAAAAGTTCATCGAGGATGTAAGGCTCATGTTTATAGCTCATGATAGATTATATGGGAGTTGGGCGTAGTTTACTTTTTTGGGTATATAACTGGTTTGGTGGTAAACTTTGGTAGATTATATCGGCATGTCGATAGCGATGCATAGAAGCATCAGAAGAGACTCCGAAGATCTCATCATCAACTATGGAATACTTGAAGCAATCAGTCGGACACTATTCGTCTTGTGGTAGTCTTGGACTGTGCTCGTGGCATGGATATCGGTTAGACATGTGCAGGACCAACGTCTTTTGGTCCCGGTCCAGTCCCGGTCACGGTAAAACTTTTTTTCCTGGTCCTGGTCCTGGTCAAAATTATTGTTCAGTCCCGGCCCGGTAAAAATTTGTTTTTGTGAAGGATGCTTTGAACTGATTGTTGAAGTGTTTGGGAGCAGAACTTTGGACCCACTTCTTTCCCCTATACTATGACAGACAGGACTTTGAATTTATTGCAGATCATGAAAGACAGGGCTTTAGACCTATCACAAAACGTGAGTCACGGTCCATGACAGACAATGCTTTAGAGCTATCACAGAGCATGGCAGGCAGGGCTTTGAAGTCATCATGGACTGTGGCAGTTAGAGTTTCATTCCATCATAGGCCGTGACTAACAAGGTATCGGACGATTTTAGACGGGAATAGACAGAGGTGTGGACACATCACAAACCTTGACAGAGGGGCTGCAAGGGTTATGATTAAACTTTGATGGAAGAGTTCAAGGAAATATCAGAGATAATGCGTACCTAGCATATGATTGGAGTATATATGGAGTATTATTTTGTGCAGGCTCTATACAGTAAAGTAAGCCACGATGAAGAAATGTATCCCAATATGCAAAACAACGTAGAGCTTTTAGAGCGTTAGCCACAGCAGCTACAGCTTGTTTCATATGTTTAATCTCGAAAGGTACTGCACTGACAGTTTTAGTACCGAGCTCAGTTATATTTCGGTTTCGTTCTACTCTTAGTCTTAATAACATACGTTTTTCTGTTACTTGTCCATATTTAAAGAAGCTATCGCAGAATTTGCCAGTTTCTGATCTGGAGTAGTTCTCGAATACTCGTATCTCTGACCTTTCTTCTCGACGGGAGAAGTGATTAATACTAAATTTTTTTCGATGCTGGTCCCAGTGAAAAATTTTTTAGTCCCAGTCCCGATGATCGGGGCCAGGACCGGGACCGGTCCCGCATATGTCTAGTATCGGTACTTCTCGTAGTCTTTGCTAGATATCGAGAGGGTGTCCCGAAAGTCTGTTGAAAAAGTTTTCGTGATTAACTCCTGCATAATTCGGGCTATATCGATATTTCTTTTATAGTGTTGTAGTACGCTCTTTAAAGTTTTATTCTATGTACTTTCAGATAAATGCCTATGCCTACAAGCGTTACAATACAAATAGTTTTGTTGATGGTCAAATTTTGGCTACCTGTTGTTCTGAGAGGAAAACTGCAGGTCAAATTTGGAGAAAATACAACAAGTGAAGATTGCATTAAAATTTGATTGAAACGTTTTTGTGAAACTGGTATAGTAAAAGATCCAGAAGATTTCGAAATTTCATCAAAAATTAGAAAAGAAAAATTCGATGACCTTCAAGAAGTTTGTGCAAGTCAGCCACAGTCAGGTCTTCGAGCTGTCTCAATGACATGTCTCAATTCATGGACAAAATTCACTCTGTATGGCTTCTATGAAATGTATTCCGTCATAATTCACTGCTCTGGTGTTATTTAAATGGAGTGGTCTTTGCAACAGATCAAAGACCTGACTGTGGCTGAGTTGCGCAAGCTTCTTGAAGGTCATCGACTTTTTCTTTTCTAATTTTTGCTGGAATTTCAAAATCTTCTGGATCTTTTACTATACCAGTTTCACAAAAACGTTTCAATCAAGTTTTAATGCAATCTTCACTTGTTGTATTTTCTCCAAATTTGACCTGCAGTATTCCTCTCAGAACAACAGGTAGCCAAAATTTGACCATCAACAAACCTATTTGTATTGTAACTCTTGTAGACATAGGCATTTATCTAAAAGTACATAGTATAGAACTTTAAAGAGCGTACTACACTACTATAAAAGAAATATCTAAATCGCCCGAATTATGTAGGAGTTAATCACGAAAACTTTTCCAATGGACTTTTGGGACACCCCGTAGATGTAGTGGTGCCAGATTCGTGATAGCTGGTGAGAAATTCATTATATGGTGCTTTATGATGTATTCCGTACATCTTCCGAGTACATATATGACTTTAATCCATGCGATATATTTTATCCTCGACTGGATAGCCAATTCTTGCTGCTATGGTTTGTTAATACTTTGTATGTATGAATCAGAACAGATCATCTGCAGCGTTCGGCTTTGAGCATCTTTTTTGTGTTACCGAGTTTAGTCTTACTTATCCTTTACAGCAATCCATTACTATTATTATGTGACAAATTATCATGATATTATGCTGCGACAACAGTAACTCTAGTCTTATCCCTCTTCATTCGATAAAAAGTTCATCAAGATTGTCTTTAGATCGAGGATCGAAAGAATCTTCTCAAGGCTTTGAAAGGATATTGCCAGAATTCCTAATAGCTATTGCTACTACTTAGCAGTTTTTAGTTAGGCAGGCTGCGAAAACTCGTTTTCGTTCGATACCTGACTAGACATTTTTCGTCATTGTCTGAAAACCTAGGGAGATGTTGGCTAAGATATCTCATACAACGATGCGCTCCACTGTATTATCTAAGACAAGGTGATCCAAAAGAGAATTTTTGTTGCAGTGATAGCCTCCATGTAACACAGGATTAACAATTATTCACAGCCACTATAGCGGTGCTCGAATATTCTCACGTCTCGAATAGCCACAAACTGTTTAGAATCATGATTAAATCATGCATCTGGTTGTGCAGGGATTCCGAAGTTTGATTGATACACAATTTTGCCATGACACTAGCGTGTGTTTTCGAGATCCTACTTAAAATTTATTTATGGCAACTTTGTGAGAACCATGATTTCTCTTAGCCTACAGCCTTTTTTTCATAATGAAGTCACTTTCTCAGGAAAAAGATTGAAATCTGAACAGGATATTTGACTGGTAAGGAAGATATCAAGAAAACGAATGACAAAGTTCTGAAAGAAGAATATGTCTGTGGAAAAAGTGTCGGATAAATAAAATCCGTTAATACTGTTACCGCTAAACAAGCAAATTTAAAATATTACATCTTCATAGCGAGCCTGAACTGAGATAATCGATTTTTAAGATATTCACAGTTTGGTATGTGAACATAATATCATGGAAACTATGCACATCCAATATTTTACATAATTATCAGGTTGTTGAGAGAATATATTTTTAAAATCTGATTAAAATGTATTGATGATATTACAATTACATTAGATCTACCTTCTTCTGCAAGTTTAATAATACTAAACTGAAAAAAGGATGTAATTATTATGTGTCAAAAATGGCATGTAAAGGGTGTCCCAAAATTCCTGATCACTTAAGAAATTTAGATATTTCCATTATTAATCGGAGTCAAATCAAATATTTCTTTTTTATTTGATAGAGGAGAATAGTAAGTTTTTTTCATACGAGTGAAGTTCATAAATACCCTTGAAAGTGTATTAATTCTGGCTGTGAAAGAAAAAGATCGCATTTTTATGATAGTAGAGTGCAATATATCGAGTTTTTCAACTATTTATTTCAATTTTAATCGTAATTATCGAGTTCAAGGACTAATAATCTCTTTTAAATGCTCCAGTGCCATTTTATTTGATGTCTTTAGGTGAGAATACCCCGCTGATATATTTGGGCGCAATCAATCGCCCGGATACCCCACCATTCATTTGTTTATGTAATTTCAACCGCTCATCAGAAAAATATGATTTTTTTACCAGTTGTACTTCATGTATAATTCTACTGGTCTGTTACTATTTCGGATCTATATATTACTAGGAATGAGAATTGGTAAGTCGTCCTTTGAACCATTGTTTTAAACGTACGTCATATCGTACTTATTGACATCTTGTTCTCGGTATATACTTGATGTGAGTTTGTTAGCGTTAGTGATGGATCACACTAACGCTAAACGATGATTAAGATGCGCCTTCTAGCCTAATTGGCTTAGAACATCTCCCCATATAGCAGAAGGTATGGGTTCGATTCCCATGAAGGTCATCTTTGTCATCGTTCTGTCAGATAACATCAGTGACACTGCTTGTCCTCTTTCGTTCTACACACATAGAGCTAACAGAGATAATATTTGATTCATTCTATCTTAGCTTTGTATTAGGGTTAGATCATTCTCGGTTTAACTGTGATTTTTTTCACTTCTCTTCGTTCTTCGTTTTCTTTAACACACTCGATCGATAACAGACGCTTAATACCCTTGGGTTATGTCTTCTCCACAAACCGAATGGGATTGTTCTTGTTGTGGATCTGCTGCAACTGATCGTCGAAAATATTGTACCGATTGTCATTCAATGTTAACATGGACATATACTGGCTCAGGAAAATCTGGTTTGTACACGAATTATTATCGTCATTGTGATCGCTGTACTTTTTGTACACCAGAACTTGAAGAAGAAAAACAGCGGAAAAGGGAGGAAAAGCAACAACAGTTTTAAACTTTAAACGGTAGTAAGTAACATTATTCCTCTTATTTTACACACGTATCTCTCATCCTATTCATATTGTAGAACAACGTCCTTGGCCAGAATGAAGACGCACTAATGCATTTTGCATACAATACACCGGGCATGATATCGAACAAGTACAAGAATTGTATTCAATGTGTGAACAACCACTTATAAATTATTGCTCGCATAGGAACGAGCAACTTACGAACAGTACCACCACATCATATTTATCACCTATGAATCTGCTTGCGGTTACATTTTGGCGCTTGAAACAGTATCATTCTGAACGTCATATGGCTTCAGAATTGAATTTAAGTCAACCAGCAGTGAATTATTTCTTATCAGCAGTTGTGGATATTTTACATTTCTGTGTATATCCAGAATTGATTTCATTATCTGCTGAAATGGTTAATAGAAGAACTCCACATGGACTTCAACGAAATCATAAGTTAATAGTTGATTTGACTTTTATTGCAATACCTGAACCTTATGATTCAGAACAACGGAAAGCATATTATCATGCGAAAAGTTCAACAAATTACGCATTAAAAGTACAAGTAGCTTGTGATTTTCATCATCGAATTGAACACGTATCCGAATGTTATCATGGAAGTGTACGTGATATTACAATTTTAAGAGAGTCAGATCTATTAGAACATGTAAACGACTCTGTGCAAATTATTGCCGCAAAGGATATGTTGGCGAAGAGTACCCAAGGGAACAAAAATAAAGGAAGACGCCAACATGACTAGTCCAAAATGTCCACAACACGCGTCAAGTCTAGTCGAAAACGTCTTGCACGCCTGTCCAGACTATTCACCATTAGGAGAGATGTTCTTCAAACACATCTGGACTAGTCTAGAATGTCCTTGAACCCAGTCATGTCTAGTCCCTTTTCTTCGTCGACTCCGTCCAGACTAGTCGGAGGACTAAAAGAAGAAGATGTAAGATGGATTCGAGCACTCAACCCGACAGTATTCGAAACCTGACGGGCATCCTGACGGAAGACTAGGACACTGCAATGAACTAACGTCCGTTTATGCAGCCTAAAATGCAAAATTGACTCCCATCCATCCAGTAAGCAATCAGAAACTAGTCGATATCACACGACTTTGACTAGCCTGAAATGTCTTCAATAGTAGTCAGGACTTTATCGAAGCGTCGTCTGCACCCGCCACGACTAGTTCTTTTTTAAAGAGTATGTCACCCATTCTGATCTAGACTCGTCTGAAAGACTGTAAACAAGACAGCTTCTTTGGACTAAATTATCCTACCAACTTGTTTAAACTGATGAATAATGGAAAGAAAAGAAGTAGAATGTAAATAGAACAATTTTCAATATATATGTCATTAGTTAAAAATGATCTATGAATAATTAGATGCATTTAGGACCTGCACTAGATAATAGAATAGCAATCCTTTTATTGCCTGTCTTGTACTGTAGCATTCGTAGATTGATGATTCACAGTGGCATGCCCAGGAATTTTTTTCAGGGGATCGATCCCCCAAATATGGGAAAACCAGAGTGAAAGAAAGCTTTTCGTTTCACAAAATTTTCTTTTGCCGTATCTCGCCTCCTCCCCCGTTCCATGCACTTTTCCCTACTAGGAGGATTTATCCCCTCAATCCCCTCTGGACACGTCACCGATGATTAAGCATGATCTGTTATATTATGATTACAGAAATGAATGATATGCATTTTTTTTATATTAAAATTATGCGATTGTCTCTAATATTATTAATTTTTTTCTAATTACGACGGCAATCAAAAAGTGCCATAATCCATAGTGAGATCAAAGATAGATTGTATACTTTGTGCATTGCTATCTGTTGTGATATATCTTATTATATTTTGCATCTTTATATGTTGAAAATATATTAGAGTGTATCAAAACATTAAGAAGTGGGAGTAACTACAAACAACAACAGTTATTTCGCAGCAAGAAGTGCCAATTTATATATTTTAAAATTATTAAACGTACTAAATTTTAAAAAAACTTTAAAATAATTGAAATCTTCTTGCATTGTAATTTTTTTTAAATATCGGTTCTAATAATTTTTTAAATTTAAAAGTAAACTTAATTGAAGAAAAATTAATTTAATTATTAGTTGAAGACACAATGATTTAAGTTTCAAGGTAAACTAAATCATGATATGAAAAGATCAAGCTTCTTTTCAATATAAATTATATTTTATTTTTGCATTTAAAATTTATTTTTTTAACATAACTAATTATTTCTACCTAATAATAATCAAAAACATATTCCTCCAAAAAATATAATTTTTTTTAACTTTATTTTGTTTAATGTTGTCTAAATAACGTCATATTCTGTGAAAGATAATTTTTTATTTAAATGTGAACGTAAAAAACTTTGAGTAAAACTATATTAAATAGCATCTTAGAATGATTATGAACATGTAGAAGTTGATGTGTTGATCATATAACTCAATGGTCTAAACAATGGGTAAGCAATNCGAATGGCGACAGCTGATATTGAACGACATGACTTCAACCAACAATTAAAATTATTCTATACAGAAATAAATGCATTCAAGAAACCAGAGTGTCTTGCAACCATTGAAAAATCATCAATCGGATCCACTTACTTATCTGCCCATAGGCAATTGGATGAATATGAAAGTTTATCTATTCAACACCAGCTGCATTGTAAAATGTCGCATCCATTTTATAAAGTTCTCTTCGTTGGCACGGTCAGATTTACAGTGTCAGATGGAAAAATGCTTGACGATGGATGTGTTGCTTTTGAAGATGGTCAAGGTACTTTAGAAGCGGGTTTTATTCGTGCAATACAACATAGTAATTGTTCAAACATGGAGACAGTGATCTATGTGGAAAAGTTCATCATCCAGAAATGTCTTGCAGTAAACATCGATGTCGCCAATCAATCTTCACCAGTCAACATCATCTGTTCTGATTTTGTCTTTATTCGATATCGGGTCAAATCGTACCAATTAGTCCTATTAACTTAATCGAGAAGCTGTCGTACATACAACTGAGTACGAAAGATTTTATCATTATACGTTATCCCAATTTGTTAGAAAGCTCCTAGTAAATTCATTGATGACTCTTTCTTCTCAAATCCCAACTTAGTTGTCATACACATATATATTAAATAAAGATTATTATATTCTTCAAACATCTTGGTTCTCTCCTTCAAGTATTCAATAGAAATTCAGTCTAAAAGTCACATGATGTACAAATTGCAAAAACTATGTCATTAATTTGCTCTTAACTCAGCAACAAAAAAAAGTGTAGCATGTCTAATTTAAGAGTAACAAGACTAATGCAGTGATTTTTATTTTTCAAGAATAGACAATTTAACGGAATGAAAATGATGGAAAAGTAATGAAAGTACTGTTATTATTATAGTTTTGCAAAAAAAATCAAGATTACCTGATAAAAATGATGAAAAAGAAATAAAACTAATGCAGTGATTTCAGTTTTTTAAAATAGACAAATTAATGCAGTGAAAATGATGTAAAAGTAATGAAATTAATGCAGTGATCTTAATTTTTCAAGAATAGACAATTTAATGAAATAAAAACGATGCAAAAATAATGAAAGTACTGTTATTATAATGCTTTTGTAAAAAATTAAGATTATCTGATGAAAATCATGAAAAAGAAATAAAACTAATGCAATGAATTCAATTTTTTAAGAATAGACAATTTAATGAAGTGGAAATGGCTCAAAAGTAATGAAACTAATGCAATGATTTTAATGTTTCAAGAATACAGAATTTAATGGAATAAAACTGATGCATAAATAATGAAAGTACTGTAATGATTATAGTTTTGTAAAAAATCAAGATCGTATGATGAAAATGATGCAAAAAAATAAAACTAATGCAATGAATTCAATTTTTTAAGAATAGGCAATTTAATGAAGTGAAAATGATGCAAAAGTAACGAAACTAATGCCGTAATTTTAATATTTCAAGAATAGAGAATTTAATGGAATAAAAATGATGCAAAAATAATGAAAGTACTGTAATGATTATGGTTTTGTAAAAAAATCAAGATCATCTAATGAAAATAATGCGAAAAAACTAAAACTCGTGCAATGATTTTAATTTTTCTGAAATAGACAATTTAATGGAATGAAAAC